CAATTATCCAGCAATGGTACTGTTCCTTTACCCTCTCTTCGATTTTTGAGAAAGTAGTCATGTTGGGAGTCTGGCTCTCGAGATTCGGAGGACGGTGCCTCTTCGATTTTGGAGCAAGCAATCTTGTTGGGAGTGTTTTCTCGAATGTGAGTAAAGGTTGGGCATGTTTGCTAGTCTACCTTGCCACGAAGCACAGAGGTTGACACACAGGGACTTTCCAATTATCCAGCAGTGGTACTGTTCCTTTACCCTTGTGGGTAATAATATGGGGTAGCTAGACCTTCAAAATTTATGTGTCTAAACTTTGTTAGTGCTGTTTCTTTGCTATTCTTTTACCCTTCTTGGTCAGAGCGATGTAGTGGAAGCTGCAAGCTTCACGTGTCTCAACTTTGGCAGAGAACTTTGGCAAAGTTATCTGTGGTACACCATGAGCTACTGTTGCGTGTGGGAAGTGGGGTGATTGAACAGTAAGACTCATGTGCTTTCTACTTCACCAGAAGTCTTCGACAGAATGCCCATAATTTCCGCAAAGCTGAGTGTGCGTGTGACAGGTGCTGCCAAGGCTGGAAAAGTAGGTGCCTCTTCGATTTCTGAGATCGGCCCTCGTAGGTCTCTGAGCAGCCCAACTTTTGAGAAAGCAAGCGCCTCTTCGATTTCTGAGATCGGCCTTCGTGGTCTTTGAGCAGCCCAACTTTTGAGAAAGCAGACGCCTCTTCGATTTCTGAGATCGACCCTCGTGGTCTCTGAGCAGCCCAGCTTTTGAGAAAGCAAACGCCTCTTCGATTTCTGAGCAGGCGCCTCTTCGATTTCTGAAGCTCCGTCGAGTGCAGATTTTTATAGGGGCTGGCATTAAGTTCCAAAGCACACTTGAATCTCCACCAGTAGAAGCTCCATTCTTACACTTCTAAGATCTTGATTTGTTCCGACCTCTTCTCTCTTCAACACCTTTGAAAATGTCTGGCCCCTCCGACCGTCGTTTTGACTTGAACCTTGTTGAAGAGGCAGCCCCGCCTTCTCCAGACAACATATGGCGCCCATCCTTCATCTCCCCTACTGGTCCTCTTACCGTTGGGGATTCCGTTATGAAGAATGATATGACCGCTGCGGTGGTGGCCAGGAACCTTCTCACTCCCAAAGATAACAGACTACTTTCCAAACGATCTGATGAGTTAGCTGTTAAGGATTCTCTGGCTCTCAGTGTTCAGTGTGCAGGTTCTGTGTCTAATATGGCCCAACGCCTATTTGCTCGAACCCGCCAAGTTGAATCATTGGCGGCTGAAGTGATGAGTCTCAAACAGGAGATTAGAGGGCTCAAGCATGAGAATAAACAGTTGCACCGTCTCGCACATGACTATGCTACAAACATGAAGAGGAAGCTTGGACCATATGAAGGAATCTGATGGTCAGGTTTTATACTTGATCATCAGAGATTTGTGGGTTTGTTCCAAAGGCATTTATTGCCTTCGTCTTCTGGGGCTGTACCGCGTAATGAAGCTCCAAATGATCAACCTCTGATGCCTCCTTCTTCTAGGGTTCTGTCCAGTACTGAGGCTCCGAATGATCCCCCTCCGGTGCCTTCTCTTTCTGGGGCTCTACCGACTGCTGCGACTTCTCCTAAGCAACATTTGTGAAGGCTCTCTCTTGTTTGTTTATTTTGACTCATGTATATGTACATATTTGTAGCTTATCGGGGATATCAATAAATAGGCTTTCCTTCATTTCAACGTATTGTGTTAAATACACCAAAGCCTTCTTCGCTAAGTTCTTTGAATTTTCTTTTGTTGGAGCTTTGTGAGTGGAGCATGTAGGTTGAGGTAGTGTTTCCCTTAATTTCCTGAGTGAGGAAAACTTCTCGGTTGGAGACTTGGAAAATCCAAGTCACTGAGTGGGATCGGCTACATGAATCTTAGAACGCCATTGTGCTCGGTCCTGTGTCATGTCCTTCGTTAGATCCAAGTACTCTAAGTCTTTTCTTAGAGTCTCTTCCAAAGTTTTCCTAGGTCTTCCTCTACCCCTTCGGCCCTGAACCTCTGTCCCATAGTCGCATCTTCTAATCGGAGCGTCAGTAGGCCTTCTTTGCACATGTCCAAACCACCGTAACCGATTTTCTCTCATCTTTCCTTCAATTTCGGCTACTCCTACTTTACCCCGGATATCCTCATTCCTAATCTTATCCTTTCTCGTGTGCCCACACATCCAACGAAGCATCCTCATCTCCGCTACACCCATTTTGTGTACGTGTTGATGCTTCACCGCCCAACATTCTGTGCCATACAGCATCGCCGGCCTTATTGCCGTCCTATAAAATTTTCCCTTGAGCTTCAGTGGCATACGGCGGTCACACAACACGCCGGATGCACTCTTCCACTTCATTAAATGATTTAAAGAATAATAATATTTAAATAGTAATAAACATAAGGGAAATTTTATTTGAACCCATATAACCTCTTTCTACCCCTAACTTAAGTTTTAATTGTGAATTTTTTTTTTACCCTATTGCATAATTACCACCAAATACAAGATGAAATTAACAATAAAATCAAAATTTATCAGTAAACCCACATCCCAAATAATCAAATTCTACTATCACGCAATGTTTATCCTACTTTCATCACGCAATTAATCAACATTTATCTGAGCCATTTATTTGCAAGAAATCATCATTATGTGTTGTCTGCACTAAAAATAGCAATAACATCTTTTAGAAAAATCGAAAATCAGGAACCGTAAAATTCTTCATAAACTAGACATCCAGAACTTTCCAAGCATATAAAGCTCAATATCTATTTCATCTTGAGGAAGTAGCTTAATCTTCAAACTTGACAGAAGAATAATTCCAATGGAAGTCAAACGCCTTGGATAAACAACAAACAGAGGAGCCATGACCTTGAATGCCGTGGTGAGGAAAGGAGATGTCAAGTATCCTCTTTGTCCAGTGATGAGACCCCATCGTCGATTTGTAGAAGCATTGATCATACGTTGTGCATAATATTCCACGAGTTCTTATTCTTCAAATTGATGCACTAATATCTACTTTTGTTAATGCAAACTATTTAAGGGAAAGGTAATAAAATACAAGTTAGATATCGACATATGAAAACAACGTAGTCAGCGAGATAGAGATTTAATCTATGCTCAAAATCTGGTTCACAGGATCTCAAAGTGGTACATGGGGAGGAAGACAAGATAAAATGGGAGAAACAAGCTTACACTATGTTATAATAGATATTGGCAGTAAGTGATCAATCTGCAACGGTCACAAATTAAACTTTTACGATATCTGCCATTAAGCTTTACTACGAGTCTAATGCTAAAATTAAAATCAAATTACAGCTGTTGGAACCATCGATACTAGCGGGATCACCATGCTTGAAGAGGTCCAGAAAAATGTAGATAGAAAGGGTCTCAAGGTATGATATTATGGTAGACTAGTTCTGTTTGATATGGTTCATATTTTTGTTTGATCATGAGCTTATGTTTTATTCTTTCTTCTGTTCTATTAGCTTGTAATAGCAAACCCCAGAAGTAAGGTGATCAAGAAGCTCGCGAAGTCCAAGTTCACCAAGAAAATTGGTAAGGAATGGGTGTAAATATAAATATATATTTTGAATTGGGTTTATGTGGGTAGTTTAGGTAGTAAATTTGAGTTTAAATATATATTAAACCTTTAATTAAAAATAATATAGGTGTAAAGAATAAGTTGGGTGTAGAAAAATGTTATATGGGTTCAAATAAAATTTACCTATACATAATGAAACTATTATTATTAAATATTGTACGATGATTTTTCCTATTCAATAGGAATGAGGATATTTAGGGTAATCACACTCTTTTTCCTTTGTTCATGTTTGTTATTTAATTTTTCCAAATTCCACGTTAAAAAAAATTGTGTTACAAGCTAATTAATACATGTGAAATTGTCACTTAGTACTACAATTTAGTAGTATTCATCTTCATTTGTAAGTGAGAGGTTTTAAATTCGATTCTCGCCAAATGCAAATTGAAACCACATTATTTCTAGTTCATTGTGAGGGTAAGCCTACCCCTTCATCTTAAAAATAAATAAAACATGTGATTTTTTTTTTTTTGAGTACGAAATTGAGATGTAGCTTCAATAATGTGTAGCATTCAAAGAATATAAATAATGTAGAACTATTATATTCCATGCTTATTTTTAGTTACGCTTTTTAGAACTCTATTTTGATCTTATTTTACCCCTTGTAACTCAAAAGTCATCATTTTACTTCTTAAAACTCAAATTTGTTTCACTTTGACTTGTGAACTCTCTTTTCTCAAAACTTATAAGTCACCTCCTGAAACATATGTGGGACCCAACACCCAATAAGACAAAACGCTAAACAAAGGGGGTACAAAAAATGAATAATAATTGATATAATGAGTAATGACAATGGTAAAAAAATCATCTTGACATCTTTTATGTAGGAGCAAATCCTCTCCAGAACTACATCAGAGCCCAAGAATCAAATAATCTTGACCTTTAAAATTTGATATTACGATAAAAAATTATTACAACTTTAAAAAGTTTTCAATCTTTAACCATAGGATCAAATTTTAAAACCAGAATTATTTGATCTTTGAGCTCCGGATGGATAGGCCCGGAGAGGATCTGTGTCCCCTTTTATGTATACTTTGGCACGCTATCGACACTAAAGGCTGAACAAAGCAAAAGGAACAGTAGGTTCCGTAACCATAGAGTAGGGCACGCTATCGACACTAAAGGCTAAACAAAGCAAAAGGAACAGTAGGTTCCGTAACCATAGAGTAGGGCCCAGTGGGACAGAGCCGAAGTGTAGACTCATACCTTTGCTTGGACAAGGATTGTCCGCCCTTCTATTTTCCGTGCTATTTCATGCTTTTTTTGTTTTGTATAGTAACGATTAAGTCACGTTAATATTTTATATTATTTTTTATAAAAAGAATAAGATAAAAATAAATAATAATATAAAACTATGAACACAGGAGAGCACGAAAATGTGAGGGCAGACAATGCTTTTCCCTTTGCTTTGCGTATTAATATTTCGAAGAAACAGTGAGCTGTGGGCGTTTAGAATTAGAACCCGATAGAGCAGAGATAGCAGAGCCATGGAAGCGCAGACGAAGAAGGAGCTGACGGTGGCCGTGGGGTTTGTTATCTTCACAGTCTTGATTTCCGGCGTCGGAGCCTGGACCGGTGAAATCCACGGCAGAGTTGTTTGCGATGTCTGTGGCGACTCCGCCATCGGACCCGAAGATCATGTTCTAGAAGGTCATCTTCTGTCTCTCCTTGCTCAACCCACCCAATACCCATTTATTTATTTGTTAGTTGTGAAAATTCTGAGCTGGGTTTTTATCTTTGGCTTGTTAATTTTTAGTTTTTGATCATTTCTCGTTCATCTGTTCAAGTAACTGGGCTGTAATTTTTATGGGTTGGTGATGATCATAAACATTGTTCATTTTTTCCATTGATGTTTTTCGGATGTGGTTTGCGAGCTTGTTTAAGAGCGTAATTAGATTGTATTGACATGATTTTTCTGAGACAGAAAAATTGAAAATATCTCTGGTTATATTGTGTTGCCTACTCTGAGTTTATGTAATTGTATTGTTCTGCATTGGTTTTTGTTTGTAATGGTTTAGTTTGAGCGATATGATTAACGGGTTTGGAATTCTTTTCGCTTCATAGATATGAAGATGTATTAGAATTTCTGGTTTTCGCCTAGTCCTTGGAACAATAGCAAATCTTTGGAAGTTAACTTATAGGTTTTGTATTGACAAACCCGGGTATTGACCTCTTATGTTAAAGGTCACACAGCTAGAGCAATGATTTTATGTCATTGTACAGCACAAAGTCTTCTCATATTCCAATTTGAATTTGTCACCTAATGGCATGTTTGGTTGTTAGTAATGGGAATGAAAGGGATGCTATCATTCTCATTCCTGACATATCATGCGTTTACTAACATACAAAGAATGAAAAGTAGGTGGATCACACAATGAAAAGTAGGTCTTATATCATTCCAAAATCGCTACTGTACCATTCTTATACTTGAACAATTTGATTTCTATGCGTTTGTACTTCATCAAGAATACCGTGTGATAATCAAGAAGTGGTGATCATGTACATTAAATGCATAAAAATGCCTAGAAATAAGAAATTGCATTTCACATTTGCTAAATAGGAAAACAAAATTGTGTCTCTCGTTTCCATAACTACGATTTCATCATGTTCATGCATCATTTTACACTTGATCTGGAGGTTGATCTAGTTGGATAAAGTTGGACCCTTTAAAGCATTAGGACATCCTCACTAACACAATATACAAGTTGGTATTTGTTTTCATGACTCTGATACAGTTTAGGATTTTAGCAACTTATAATATATAAACCATGAAAACAAAATGTAGTTTATTCGTCCCAATGTGCTTTTCTAAAACCTCTTCGTTGGTGATTACATCTATTAGTTTTTGTGTCCACCTGATACATGATACTATGATAAGTCCACATCCGTGCGATCTTCTGGTGACTTTGATCATTTGAAGCTGGTAATGAAAGTTAAAATGGTATAGTGGGTGTTTAAGCTTTTAACCGCTATCTAGGGTGCATTTACAATGTAGAAGGGAGAAATTAATGGTTTTGAGCTTTGATTCATCGTGGTGCAGGTGCTGAGGTAGGTAGCTGTACTATGCGTTACGAAATCAGGTGAAGTTCTAAATTACCAGGCATTCACGAATGATAAGGGGGTATATACAGTGGCGGAGACGATGCCCGAGAGTGACAGGTGGGATGCATGCCTGGCACGACCTATCAGTAGCTTCCATGAGCACTGCAGCCATCTTGGGGGTGGTAGCTCAGGCGTTAAGTTCACTTATAATCACCCATCTGGCTATTCTCACACCGTTAGAACTTTCGTCTATCGACCAGCAAGCGTACCAGCATACTGCATTTGAGAACTCTAGATCGATGTACATCTTTATTCTGCGGTTGCAGTACGAACTTTGCTTCAACTGAAAGGAAAGGGGAAAAGAGATTATGTAATCGCTGTAGAATGTGTTTATTACAGGGCTTCTAGTTTCTGCTTACAAATACGCTTAGCTGTTGGAAAGTAGCTTTCACCGATCCGAGCTAAGCATCCGACGCGTCGTGGTACTCTCGTAGGAACTCCGATCGATTGCAACAGATTTCGTGTTCATCAAGTCATCGCCCAGTTGCAATTTTCTGAAGATTTAGACCGGAATACAAAAAATATATGTATAAAAAAAAAAAATGCAATTTTCGCCCCTAATTGCATTTTGTTCCACTGATGCACTCATTTACATTTTGACTGGCTCGGCTTAAGCCCAACACATTTATTCGTTTAAATTTCTTTGTTTGGGCAAAACCTTCAATCCTTAGGCCCAAACCTGACCATGAGGGCCGGGCTACTGGACCTTGATGGATCAAATCTGGGTGAACCAAAATTTTAGATTTTTATTTCCTGCTCCGGCACTAACATTTTTATATCACATGATATAACAATTGATGTGTTATCATCACATTAATAAATAATTTTGTTTCAAATGTCGAATGAGTGCATCACATAATACGTTATTAAATGCAGTACAAAAATATGTGAATGATTCCAATTAAATCAAATTCATTGATGAATGGATCCAACTAAATCCTATAACTAAAAGAATCAAATTTATTTCTTAATATATAAATTAAAAGTAATATTTGTAGACGACAAATGCGCTATCTTCCAATTTTTCAATTCTGCACTGCGGGTGTGTATTGTATTAAGATTTATATAGATTTTGCAAGGATTTTTTTTTATTTATTTATTTTTTTTAATGTGATAGACTTTTGTAGATTTTGTAAATTTCTATTGACTAATAAAAATTCCAGGAAATTTAATAACTTTTTAATGCTAGATTTCTACAAATTTTATGGAGTTTAAGATAGACTTTGACAAAAGAAAAAACAAAAAAACAAAAACGATAGACATATGTAGAGTTTAAAAGGAAATTAAAATGTGGTGTTTGGGTGGTGGAGTGAGGGTTTGGGTGGTGGTGATGGGCAAGGTAAGACGGGAGTAAAGGTGGCGATCATGATGATGGTGGTGTTAGTAGTGGTCATGGGGGGGGGTGACGACAGTAAGGTGACCGTAGAAGGTTATGGTGTTGATGACCGTGATAAGGGGTAGTAGAGGTAGTGGTGGGAGTGGTGGTGGTAGGCAAGGTAACATGGTCATACTATAGGTGGGATCATGGTAGGCGTGTCAATGGCAGCATAAGACCAGGTTTGGGAGTGAGGTGCTTAAAAAAAAAATACCCATGAAAAAAAGCTGTGAGGGTTTTAGGTGTTTGGTAAATTGACAAAAAATGGCTTATTTTGGAAGCTACTGTGAGAATAAGCTGAAATCAAAGGAAAAAGCTGAAGCTGCTATTTGCAGCTTTGGAAAACTGGTTTTTTTTCAAAGCACACGAAGCTACAGTGCTCCTTTAATGAAAAGACCCACTATCAGACTGCTTTTTTTTCTTTCCAAAAGCACTTTTACAAAAAAGTTTACCAAACACTTTGCTGATTTATTTCATAACCGCTTATTCTCACAGCACAGCCGCTTATTCTCACAACAGCTTTTTTTCAAAGCACAGCAATACCAAACCAGCCCTAAAGATTGTGATTAATAGTATGACAAAATGATGGTAGAAAAAGTGATACGATAGTGGTGGTGGTGGCAATGATAGAGGCAATGTTGGCAATATGGTGACGAGGATGGTCATAATTAGGTGGAGGTGTGGCAGAAGTGGAAATTGTGATCTTCATTGCATCATTGTGGGTGATAGAGTATAAAAGTCTTTGAAAGTCCATCAAAATCTTAAGAGACGAGATTGGATTTGTTATGATGAAAATATAACATAAAAATTCTCAACATCTATGAAAGTTTATGACTTTTTAAAATCTTTTTAAATTAATGAACTTTTGAATATAAAGTTTTTAAACGTGTAGAAAGTCATAATTGAATACTACAAGACTTTTATAAAATTTTTAGAAATTATAAAAAAGAATTATTCAATACAAAGTAATTTTTATTGGCTCCATAAAAGCATATATTAAATACACATGAATTTAAAAGTCACCCCTTAAATTGGAAGAGGCGCCGTGTTTGCTTTTAAAATTGAAATTACAATGTGTACCGCCAGAAAAGAACAAAGCGAACCTGCCAGATAACCTACAATCTCCACCGTAGGAAAACTACCCGTTATAACCTAAGGTACCCATCCAACGGTCAACATTCCAGCCCGATAAAACAAACCGCGTATCTTCTCTGAGTTTGGTAACACGTTTCCCAACCCCACCATCCAACCTTCACAGCCAGAAAATCTCACCGTCCAACGGTACTTTAAAGCCACGTGTCCTCCGCCTCCCCCTATATAAACCCCCCGCCCTTCTCCTTAAACCATCATTCATTCAGTTGCCTCTCAATCACTTAATTCCTCTCTTCCTCTCTCTCTAAAAATCTTTGTTTGAGTTCTGTTTCTCTCTCTACAAATGGCTCGATTCTTCGGCGTCGTTTTGGTGCTAATGGTTTCTCTCTTGCTGGCCTCGACCTGGGCGCAATCCCCTGCATCGTCACCAGCCAAGTCTCCCTCACTTTCCCCCAAAAAATCTCCCGCCGCCCCTTCTCCGTCGAGCACTCCACCTACTGCCGCCGCTCCTTCTCCATCGAGCACTTCACCATCCGCTTCTCCTTCGACATCTCCCGTCGCTGACACTCCACCTTCTCCCCTATCGTCGTCTCCGACTACTTCTCCATCTTCAGTTTCTGGACCTCCCTCCGAGGCTCCCGCTCCTGCTAACGGTGCTGTTTTGAACAGGTTCTCAGCCTCCGCGTCTGTAGCCGCTGGGATCTTCGCTGCTGTATTGGTTATGTAGAGTGGGGGTGTTTATGGACTTTTGAATTTCCACTTATTATTGTATTAAATTCTTTTATTAATTTAAATTTGTAGCGCGGTTATATGAGAATATAAAGAGACATTATTTTTCGATTATTATTTCAATATGTGTTATCACCAAATTTGCCCTGCATTCATATCCAAGAACCTCTGTTATTAGAATATGGACACCATTATGCTTTTGAGATAGCTGAAAACGCTTTTAAACGATGAAAAGCATTTTTGAATACAACCAACTCGAAAGTAGAGTAGCTTATGTTTCGACATAATTGACATTACAACAAAAGTATCAGCATCAATTCCTGAATCCAATCAAATTTGTCAGTAAAGCAACATGAGACGTAGCAACTTTTGTCTTTTGTCTTGTCTTTTAAAGTTTGAAAGATGTTTCTAATATTGTTTCCCACCTCCTCAGCTAAAATTTTCATACAACAATAAAATCGGCATACATGAAATCGTTGGAGACATGAACAAATTTCATTTTTAAGCCTAGTTAGAAGTGACATAAATATGGGTGTTGTTGTATACACCAAATTCATGCACAAAAAAAGAAGCGGATCTGTCTTTAACGTAAACTATCAAACTTTGAAGCTATTACACCCAAAAGGGTGAAACCACAAACGCAGGGGCCAATCCCTAAAATGAACTATGTAGATTACGGGTAGACATTTTACTAGAGATTTCTATAGTATCAATTTAACCTTGTTTGTTTCCATGCGATATTATACCAAATAGATATTTGTGTTATGATCCAAGCAAGTCATGAATATATATATGATTTGTCCTTGTTGTATATGAAACCTCTTGATTTTTTAATTTTTTTTTTAAACATAAGGAGATAAAGAAGCCATTGCAATTGCCGAGAATATTAAGGCCAACTAAAGGTACAAAAATGGAGCAGAAACTGTTGAAAGTTATCATAAAACGGATACCTCGGCCGGGAGCTGGATCATATGTGTAGTGTCCGGTAAGGCATTCTTATCACAGCAAGACAAATATATGAGTCAGAACCTAATGGAAGTTGAACGGGCTATAACTTATCTATTGTTCTATGCCCTCTTTGAAGGGTTAAAAGTGGATTGACTCAAGCACTCCATTCCCTTTCTCACTACAGAATCATTCAATTCCACTTGACACTTTCTTCTTTCTTTCCTTCTTAACAAAATCTCACTTGGACAAAGTTTCATGCTTGCCCTAAAAATGATATGTCTACTTAATTATCAAAATCGTCTATTTTAACATTATAAAAATCAATGAAGAAGAAAGTGGTTTCATTGTGCTGATGACACTTTATCGTAGTGACGAAAAGTAATCATGCTTGTGCACTTTAGTGCAGGTTCGATTTCCACCAATCCTACTCCCTCCTAACAATTAACGAGTTAAATTTAAAGCTATTGTTCGTTAAAAACAATGATTTAACCATTCGGTCTATTTCTTCATGTACAAAATAATTCTAAATCCTAGCTAACATGCCCTACTTTAGCTTCAAATTTTCCAAACAGAGATTTTTATTGTATCAAGTAAGTCTTGAATATATATATATATATAAGATTTGTTCTTGTTGTATCTAAGAACTCATTTTTTTAATATATAAAAAAAATAAAGAAGCCATTGCAATTGCCGGAAGCTGGATCATATATGTAGTGTCTTGTAAGGCATTATTTTCCATAGCAAGACAAATACATCGAGTCAAAACCTAACAATTGAATGGAAGTTGAACGGGCTATTATAACCTATCTAGGCTTCTATGCCCTCTTTGAAGGGTTAAAAGTGGACTGACTCAAGGACTCCATACCCCGTCTTACAAGAGAATCAGTCAATTCCACAAGACACTTTCTACTTTCTTTCCTTCTTTTCAAAATCTCACTTGGACTAAATTTCATGCTTGCCCTAAAAATGATATGTCTACTTAATTATCAAAATCTGTCTATTTTAATATTATAAAAATCAAACAAGTAACAAATAGTTTAATCGTGCTGATGACATTTTATCACAATGACAAAAAACAATCACGTTTATCACTTTAGTGCAAGTTCGACCCCCACCAATTCTCTTTCTTTCTAAAAATGAATAATTTAACCTGCTAACGCTATTGTTAGTTAAAAAAAATGGTTAAACTGTTCGATTTATTTATTTTTTATTTTTATAAAAAATATAAAAAAGTATTATATTCATTAATTGAGAATAAAACTTACAAAGGTGAAAGATAAGGTGCATGAAAGGACCTCGATAAAAACCTAGCTGACATGCCCTACCTTAGCTTCAAATTTTCCAATCTGGCACCTAAGATTGAAAGAAAGGATCCGTTTGCTTTAAGATAACAATCTGTACAGCCAGAAAATAAAAGAAAGAAAGAAAGATTTCCAAAAGAAAAAGAAAAGTCCAACTAAAATAAAAACAAAAGAAAGAAGCGAATCTGCCAGATAACCTACCATCTGCACCGTCGGATAGTTAACCGTTATAGGCTGTAAAGCATACATCCAACGGCCATAAAAGAACCAGCCCAGTCCAATAAACAAAGCGTGTTTCGGCTCTGAGTTGGTAACACGTTCTCTTTTTACCCCAACCGACCTTGAATCATCACAGGCTCACAGCGAGAAAATCGCCACCGTCCAACGGTTTGCTACACGCCACGCGTCTCCTCCCCCTCCCTCTATATAAACCCCGATCTGCTCTCCTAAAACCCATCTGCTATTCGCCTCTAACCCTCACTAGACTCCTCTCTCTCGCTCTCTCTCTCACAATCTCTGTTTGAGTTTCTCTCTTTTTCTCTCTACAAATGGCTCGATTCAGCGGCGTCGTTTTCGTGCTTATGGCTGCTTTGTTGCTGGCCTCGACCGGGGCGCAATCCCCTGCATCGTCGCCAGCCAAGTCTCCTACGCTTTCTCCCAAACAAGCTCCTGCCGCCCCTTCTCCGTCGAGCACTCCACCTACTGCCGCCGCTCCTTCTCCTTTGAGCACTCCACCTACGGCCGCCGCTCCTTCTCCATCGAGCACTTCACCATCGACTTCTCCTTCGACATCTCCCGTCGCCGACTCTCCACCTTCTCCCCCATCGTCGTCTCCGACTACTTCTCCTTCGACATCTCCCGTCGCCAACTCTCCCACCGAGGCTCCCCTTCCTGCGAACGGTGCCGTTTTGAATAGGTTCTCCGCCGCCGGGTCCGTGGCCGTTGGGATTTTCGCTGCTGTTTTGGTTATGTAGAGAATCGGACTACAGAGTGGAGGTGTTTATGGAGTTTTGGTTAACTTTGTCAATTTATTATTGTGTATGGATTCATTTATTAATTTATTTTCCATAGTATCAAATATGTAGCACTGTCATATGAAATATAAGGGGACATTTTTCTATCCATTATCATTTCAGTATATCTGGTTTTATTAATTAGTCCTGAATTATTGAAGAATTGCAATTTGATTTTTGTGGCCCTTTAACTGCCTAAAAGCTACATTTGCAATCATTTTGAAATAATCACATCATTTCTAATCATCAACAATCATGATATATGATTTACAAAACTTAGTCTAAATAGTTTGTCTCTTTATCACTACCTTTTTTTTGTCCATGTTCCATACTGCTTTTCAAAAAACACAAACGTATTATTCGCTTAAGTGAGTTGGTAATTAAGTAAGACATTAAATTAATATGAATCGAATGAGTGATATATTATCACTTCATGTCGAGTCCAAATTAAGCAAGTCCCAAGCCAGTGATATGAGTTGAATGTGTAACTGATTTATTGACGCCTCACGTGTAGATCAAATTAAGCACGTTTCAAACTCTTGGATTAATAGTACAAACACCATCTTCAATTGGTGGGTAACAAATCATCTTGATGCGAGTGGCTAAAAAGCAGTTTTTCTGGTCAATAGTCACAACCCCATCACACATGTTCATCCAACAAATGTGCAAAACCCAATTTTACCTCCTACTCAAAAAATTGAAAACCCTAGCACCTAGCAATCCTCCTCGCTTGCCACCATGCCGGATTCGTCCACCAGTCCGACTGCTGGCCTCTTCACTTTCTCTAAAACATTAAAAATAGGGCATTATTACCATTGAGGAGCTGTTTGATGTCTCACTTTAACTCAATTAGTAATACAAAAGTTGATGCTGGACAAAATTCTTAACCATCGCACCGCATCAACAAAAAACTATAAACCAAATCAAGGATGTAGTAAGAGAGGGAAAAAAATTGAATAACACCCAATTTTAATTTCAATTAAGGCTCACGGAAGGAGGGAGAGATAGACGGGGATAAAGCTAGAAGCAGCGAGACTTGTAGGCATGGTCGTTTCTGAAATTTTGAGAGCTCTGTGCATAAATTATAAACAGCCCCTTTTGGTTTCGTATTTTATTACATAACTAAATGTACTAAAATAATTAAAAAAAATTACCATGTATTAATATCATAATTATTCACTATCCAAAGACAAATCTTCAGCAACAAATGATATTAAAAATGTGAAATAAAAAATCCCACATATTCTTTCCTTAATCTCTTTATCTCTCACTCCATTTTCTCAGTCCAAACAAGAAACAAAGTATCAACTCGCAAACTTATATATCAGCCAAAAGTTGGGGTCACTGTGCAATTTCACAAGTTGCTCACCCCCCCCTCCCCCAAGCCGGCACTACTTGTAGGGGGAGTATGATTCTCTTCTCTTGTAATCTTTCTCTCATTCCCTCCCCTCCTATTTAAACTGTTACGATTTAGCTACGTCAACATCTTGTATTGATTTTTTTTTATAGAGGTAAAGACAAAAGGAAAGTGTGAGAGGAGGGGAGGAAATGAAAGGGGGATGGTTGGAAATGATGACATGATTGTGGGTTTCTTAACTTTTTAGTGTTGGTTCTTAATTTTTTAGGGGTAGTATTATCCATACATTCCTTTTTATTTTCCACACATCCTGTTAATTTTTGTTACTTGATCATCTTCAAATCACGGATTTGACGATTGAAAGTGGAAAGTGATGAGCGGAAGGTAAAAAGGAGTGTGCAGATATCACCACCCTTTTTTAACATGGGTAAAAATTGGATTTCAAAAGATACAAAAAATAATGGGTGAACTTAAGATGTTTTGTGGTGTGAATAGAAAACTCAATCAAAACAAAAGTTTCTTAGGTTGTAAAAGCACTTGAAGAAAGTTGAGGTTTCACACCATTTGACAATATGAAGAGTAGTCTAACTACTTATAAGCACATGCAAGGAGGTCTCTTCTTTCCCGGATGTGGAGTTCATAATCTCAATACGACCGAATTGAGATCCTCTCTATGTCTCAAACTATGGAGCCCACAGACCTAATGGAGTACGTGTGGCTGTTGGGCTTTGCACATGGGACAACTTGCTCTAATATCATAAAGAAAATTGAGGTTCCAATATTAAACCAATTGACAATATAGGGAGTAGCTCAATTACTTAAAAACACATATTTAAAATCCTTTTTTTTTTTTGCTGACGGGGGATTCATAATCTCAATAGCACTTTCATGCATCTCTATTTTGCCAATGTCCTTTTTGAAGCCCTAAGACCATCTCCAACCCATGGGATAAATCTTAAAATATAAGCTTTAAAACCCCCCAAACCATCTCCAATCATTAGGCTAAAATAAGCTCTAGGGAGAAAATATATCTCTGGGCTAGATTCCCCTTAGGATTTAAGTCTATCTTAAATTATTCTGGATCTACCAAACTATCATATTTCAAATCTTATTTTGTTTTTCACTTATAATCTAACGGCTATGATCAAATGAGATTAAATCTACGGGTAAAAAAAGAAAAAAAGAAATTGACGACCCAAAATTAAATCTAACGTCTAAAATAATTAAATAAAGAAATAAATATTTGAATCAAATTTAACTTAAAACTTTATAAATACCTATGTCTGTATGATTTTTAATTACTTATCGGAATTTAAATATAGATTAAAATGTTCATAAAAAAACATTAGAATAATCCACATAAATTTTATTTTTAAAAAAGTTACCAAAACAAAAAAATAGGCTAAAATCATTATTCACTAATTTCGAGTTAAAATTTTGGACACACCCCGACCCGGAATGTCCACTAGGACTCTGAATCAAGCTGTGTTGGCCGACACCTGGAAGGTGACGAAGCCATAAAGTGTAGTGATATGGAAAAATGTGAATAAATTTAAACCTAAAAGTGCCTAAGTATAAGAGCGCACTGTGAGCGGGAATGAACCCATTTCACACGTGATGTCAGAGCATAAGTCTAGTACAATAAGATAGGGTGAGAATTATACCATCGAAAATAATCATCTACACCAAGATTTGCCAAGAATCCTCGCCGATATGAAAGCTCAGCTACTAAAACCTGGAGGGGCGAAAAAAAACAAAGATGAGTGGGCCTGAAAATAAAGTTTTATAAAAACCTTTATGAAAATATTGTAACCCTTCATCGTAAAACAAGTATTGTTTCCAAAATATACTTACTACGTATGGTATACAAATAGTTACCGTAACTTGCAAAATCTCAAGAATTCATTATGGCACAATATCTCGTAACTAAGGGCAAGATATCCAAAATCACAAAATCTCAACAGTAATATAATTAAAATCAGGTGCTCAAACAATTTATGCTAGCACACAAGTCGGAGTCACCTAATGGGACCTGTACGACTAAACTGATGCTCATCAATCTATGCTAGCACGTGAGTCGGAGTTGCCTAATGCGACCTATACGATAGGACTGGGTGTAATCATAATATACGCTCTAGTGCTACAATCACGTGAAAACTGGTGCTATTCACGGTCACGTACGAGTAGGAGTTGCTTAATGCAACCTGTACAATAGGACTGACACCTACTTGGATCCAAGGCTAGCGTGCGGTGCGGAGGTGAACATACACGTGAAAGATTGGCCCTAGCCTTGGGCTAGCACTAACACCGGGGTGCAGCAATGATGAGCAAACTACAAAAATATAAGCATGCCACAATGATTCGATAGTTCTAATCAACATACTAACATTCATAGCCGTAGATATAATTATGGCATCAAAGATTATAAGCATACATGTGCATTCCGTAGGATGTAGCATATTTCATAAATTTCACCATTTCGCTAATTCTTATAAACTTTAGTCTAATCCAGGTATACCTAAGAAATTCTTTTTCAAATGCATAAATGGAAACTATCAATCTTATATATATACACTATAAAAAGGAAAGAACTCATTCACCTGAAGTCCACACTACAACTTCCTAGCACGAATATTAAGACGTCATGAACGATCGTCGCCTAGAACAATATCAAATCACATCTCAAAATTCTTATCGATAGAACATGTAACTTACATTAAACACATCTCCAAGGACGTTATAGAATTATTTGAAACCCATTGACAAAAAGTCAACCGTCGGTCGAAGATCGACAGTAGGGTCCAATACCCTATGTAAGTCAATGCGGAAGATCTGCACCTCAGATTTCTGATCGGTAACTTCCCAAAAGTTTATTTAAGCTTCCAGAACAACATCCTAAAGTTTTGGAACGATCCAACAGTCGGATCTTCGCCAATCGCTAAAATTTAGTGATGGTCAACGTTTTATTTTATGAACCTACAAATCCGACTGCTGGCCTCTTCACTTTCTCTAAAACATTAAAAATAGGGCATTATTACCATTGAGGAGCTGTTTGATTTCTCACTTTAACTCAATTCGTAATATTTAAAAGTTGATGCTGGACAAAATTCTTAACCATCGCACCGCATCAACAAAAAACTATAAACCAAATCAAGGATGTAGTAAGAGAGGAAAAAAATTGAATAACACCCAATTCTAATTTCAATTAAGGCTCACGGAAGGAGGGAGAGATAGACGGGAATAAAGCTAGAAGCAGCGAGACTTGTAGGTATGGTTGTTTCTGAAATTTTGAGAGCTCTGTGCATAAATTATAAACGGCCCCTTTTGGTTTCGTATTTTATTACATAAATAAATGTACTAAAATAATAAAAAAAAATTACCATGTATTAATATCATAATTATTCACTATCCAAAGACAAATCTTCAGCAACAAATGATATTAAAAATGTGAAATAAAAAATCAACATATTCTTTCCTTATTCTCTTTATCTCTCACTCCATTCTCTCAGTCCAAACAAGAAACAAAGTATCAACTCGCAAACTTATATATCAGCCAAAAGTTGGGGTCATTGTGCAATTTCACAAGTTGCTCACCCCCCCTCCCTCAAGCCAACACTGCTTGTAGCGGGAGTTTGATTCTCTTCCCTCGTAATCTTTCTCTCATTCCCTCCCCTCCTATTTAAACTGTTACGATTTAGCTACGTCAACATTTTGTATTGATTTTTTTTTTATAGAGAGGTAAAGACAAAAGGAAAGTGTGAGTGGAGG